TATTATGGCTCAGCAACCCTACATTACAAAAAAACACTTGACATGTACTCTAAACAGAGCTAAACTAACCACTAAATAACTCAACAAATCTGTCCTCAGGTACTCTCCAGTAGGCATTGCCTCCCTCATCTGTGGGAAAATTGCTGCTATCGGTGACTTGGAAGTGGTGGCGAGGCAGCTCGGCATGTACATGGTCACGGTCATAGTCGGTCTCATCATTCATGGCGGGCTCATCCTGCCAGTCATATTCTTCGCCGTGACTCGGAAAAACCCCTTCACGTTTTACTCTGGTATCTTCCAGGCTTGGATCACTGCTCTGGGAACGGCCAGCAGGTACAGACAGCAGACTCCTCACGTGTTTCATGGTGATATGCTAATTTAAGTGTTCTGGCAGACTGAAGATTTAAACGTCACTTTTGGTTAAACAGTGTTGTCTTGAGAAGCAAGATCTTTCTCAGTTTTTCTCTCTTTTACATTTTTTTATTTTGAAAAATTATATTTTAAACTGGTATGTGGATGTTTTAATATAAACTCCAACATGACTTAAAAAAAACAACACACATCAGATGATTTATATTTTAGACCCCACATAAATCATCCACACTACTTAATCTGGCCAAACACACTTTCTGATGTTCTCCAGAATAGAGCTCTAGAAAGATTAATCAGTCTAAATGGATGGGAAATTATGAATAAATCTGGGTTTACATCTGTTGCGCCAAACCATTTTCTGAATGTCAAACCAACTGTCAGTTTGGCACAGAATATGCATGCAATCCTGTCAACTTTTTTTAAATAATTAGTTTTTGGGCGTTATTTTGGATTCATGTTTAGTCGGAGCAATTTTTCAAACAACAAATTAGCATTTGTTAGATAATTATAATCAATTTAACGTTCTCTTTTTCAGTGCTGGGACATTGCCAGTGACGTTTCGTTGTCTGGAGGAGAATCTAAAGATTGACAAGCGTGTGACTCGCTTTGTGCTGCCCATTGGAGCCACCATAAACATGGATGGCACTGCACTCTATGAGGCTGTAGCAGCCATTTTCATCGCTCAGATGAATGACATTTCCCTAGATGGAGGACAGATTGTTACTGTTAGGTAAGGAGATGTGAAACTGAAACCAGACAAATTGTGGCTTCTGCAGTGGAGGGAATTATTTCTAATGGGCTTTTTGGTTTGCTCTGATGTCATTTTCCATATTTACTAGATGAACAATGACTGCAAATTTGTATTTTTTATTTTATTTTATTTATTTGTTCAGATAAGAA